TATATATATATATATAAAAATAAAAACTAATACAAATATATATTTAGAAGAGTTCTGAGATCCCTCTGTTCATTGTTCAAAAATGTAAGAAAAATGATTCAAGAGAACTACTTACATGAATCCTGCTTTGGTTTTACAATATAAATGTCCTTGTAGGCTTTTCAGGGATAGTATATCCTTTCTCTGTCCTAATCTTTAATTTTACCTTTATTTAGTGCTACTAAGTACTTTCAAGATTATTCTCATTTTATATTCTCTTATGTATCTCAGGAGAATACTGAATCCTGGTTTATTTTTTATATTTCATTAATATGATTACAGCATTTAAAATTAAAAACCATTACTAACATAACACAGATGGGGTTTTAAAAAATAAAAAAGGTGTAAAGTGGCTTATTTCATTAAAGCTGTACTAATGCATTATATAATTTTATATGCCCTTTGAAAGCATAACTTTCAGGAAAGCTATTTTAATCTTTTTCTTCATTAATAATTGATAACAGCTGAGGTTTTCTTAATGCTAGGTGCTTTTGTACAGTAAATATATTAAAAATATTTTTCAGTTTATCCATTTTATATTAGCACTTGAATATTAACTACTTATTTAAGTGACCTTCAGTAGGATTTGAAATTAAAAAATACTCTTAAAAGTGTCACCAGCAGATTGAAAGTAATTGGAAAGAACTTGTGTTCTAAACAAGGGATGCTCAACCCCCAGCCTGCGGGACAGATAGGGACCCGGTTGTCATATTTCAGACCCATGGGGAGCCCCGAGACCTGCACACTGAATGTGGTGTCCCAACCTAGCATGCAAGTCTGGATGGGAGCAGTGCTAGACCCTAGGACCCAATCCTGGTTATAGGTGGCCAGGAAAGAGCAGTCTTGGACCCCTGGCACCCAATCCTGGTTCATGTGGGTGTGGACTGGGGTGGTCCTGGGCCCCCAAGATACAAGCCCAGTATGCGAGGGGCAGAAGGGGGCAGTGCCAAGACCTAAGGCCCAATGGTTTACGGACTGGCCCCAGGTCTCTCATCTGGGCCACAGAGTGAAAACCTTGAGCACCACTGTTGTATACTCATCCAGCAGACATACAGGTATCATTAACATTACATCTCCTAAACATGTCATTCACCTTATTTATAAAAAAAAAAAAAAAAAAAAGGAAAATTTTTAATAGGAAGAAACCTCAGCTAGATTTTAGGAGAAGTTCTGGAGAAGGATGAGAAGGGACTTGTACACTGTTTCCATTTTTCTTCTACGTTAATCATTGTGTATTTTTCATTTATGCAGATTTAAGATTATTTCAAATGTGGGCTTTAATTCTGCAATGCTCTTACATCTTTTTAGAAACTTGATAATAGTGATTTTCTGTCAGTTTTGCTCTTTGCTCAGTCTGATTTTGGAATGGAACTTAAATTACCATAAATTTTGCTTCATGGTGATTGGTGTGATCCATTATGTCAGCAGAGCTTTAAAAGACTTAGTTTCTCAATCCAGTTCTAGTAACCTTGAAAGTAATTTCTGTAGAAGTCTAACAATTCAAGAGAATGATTATGTAACATAGGATATTAATGCTAACTTATTAAAGCCACCTGAAATACAGCAAATTTTCCTTTCAGTGGAAAGTCTTACTCGTCTCTGAAATATGGCTCGTGAACTCTGTGATGGTGGAGTGGATGGAGCATCCCAGAGGAGCATGGGGGCCCCGCCGTGTGCTTGGTGGTGAACCCGGAAGTGGACTGGAAGTACTTTTGGTCCACTTTCGGGTCCGCCCCCCGCACCTCGCCAGCTCAATGATGGGCCGCAGGGGGACCCTGGGTGCCCCCCCAGACCCAGGAGGCACCAGTCACCGAGCTGGGGAGGTGTGAGGGGGGGGGGGCCCTGCACACTCCTGTGGGAGGCTCCATCCACCCCAGAATTGCAGCGTTCATGAGTCGCCTGGTACCTAGATGTATGTAGAAAAAGCATTTAAAGCTGTGTCTATGTCCGAATCGCCGAATCTTTCCAAATCTCTCTGAATCAATTTGGAGGGTTCTGATTTGTTTCGGAGAGATTAAAGGGTTCCTGATTCGATTTGGATTAAGAGATTCACCCACCAGGTCAAATCAGGGACCGAAGCTTTGCACAGCCCTAATAGTTACTACAAGAATAGCCATCATGTACATTTCGAACATGTTATCGATTTAATTCTCTCCTACAGAAACCTTTTTACAATATGACATACTTCAGATATATGGGGACCTGGCAAAAGCAGTCATATGGATCTTTGCAGGTGAAATACCTCATTTACAGATTTACAAAATGATGGTAGGACTTGAGGTCAGATCCAGCAGTGCTGTTTCAGTTGCAGTCACGCCTACAAGAGTTTTACATAAGTTTGCCCGGAGGATAGTTACAGCTTCAGTTTCCCAGCAAATGGCAAGAGGAAATTCTTTGAGGATCTTAGTATAAAACAGTCTTTATGGCCTGAGTGAACCATAGTACTTGCTGAAGTGTTTCTAAAGCTACTGAAATTATATCTGATATTTCAGCTATGCTCTCTTCCACAATACTTTCTGTTATACATTTTTAAGTATGTACATAAATTTAAATGCAAACCTAACTACTTAGGATCTTATGTGACACATGCACACACACCCATCACCATTATCTGCACATAATTAGTGCTCCCTACAGTGTAGCAAGGAACTTAAAAAAAAAATTAACAATAAGCAGAAATTTTTCTGAACTGGAAACTGTTACTTGTTATGTGGAAACCATTTTCTGAGCATTTTGTTAATTGAGCATTCTATAGTAAGGAAATGTGAAAACATCCAACCTGTTGAAACCTTTTACAGCAAGGTGTAGGAGAAAACTAATTATTAGTCTTTTAAGTGTCTAGGAAAATGCGACACATTAGCATACTAAGTTTTTAAATTTTGGATTGGACAACCTGGACAGCAGTTCCTATCAGTTTGTTCAAGTAGCATGCATAGTGATGGCCAGCTTTGTTTGAGAAATAAGGGTTTCTTGAGGGTAGTGTTGTACTTTATCTCTTAAGTTTTATTGCACGACAAATGGTAAGCAAAGACGTACAGAAATGTACTGTGTTCTTCCATGGTTTCTAATGCTAGTGAAACACAACTAGATTTTGCTCTGGTGTTTTACCCCAGAACGGGAAATTCAGTCCCAATTATGAAAATTAGGCTTTTCTTTTTGAACATCTGAATGATTTCAGCAACTTATCTTGAGATTTCTGTAAATGTCCCGCTGAGCTTTTTGTAGTCATTTGAACTGCTAATTTTCTGTTGGGTAGGAATGCTCTGAATGGCATGAAATAGCTTATTATGTAATAGCTATCGAGTACCATTGTGTAGCAGTCACTTTTGCATGTGTGAATTTAAGAAAGTAGGAGTCAAGGGATGTATCCTTAAAATAGTTCTTAAATTACATTCAGCATTTAAGTAATGTTGACAGAATGCTTTAATTTACTTCCTGACACAAACTTACTGGGGACCAATTGCTCCCTACCCTACAGTGACTAAACCAGGGCTGTCCAACTTGCAGCCCCCAGGCTAACCAAAGGGTTAGAACGCAGCTTGCAGGGTCCCACCCAGCTGCCATTCCCCCTCCGCATTTGCTCGTGCCACAGAAGCCAGGGGGGCCTGAAGTGTCCTGGGGGTGCTGTACACTGCACGGGAGAGCTAACTGCCTGAGCTGGTGGGGGTGGGAGGTGGTAACCTGTGCAGTTGAAAGGGGGGAGCTGGGCTGTCCATGCCATGCTCAAGGTGGGGACAAAGGGCTGTCCGTGCTACAGAGCTGCACCTGCAGCTGGGACAGGGAGGGAGCTAGGTGCCCAGCACCCCCTCTGCTAAATGTGCTGCACAGGTAGCCCAACTGCTCCTGGGCAACCAGGAGGCGTGGCTTGCTGCACATAGGGCTGGGAGAGCGGGGAGAGAGGAGCTGGTCTTCCCAGCGTACTCCCCATTGCCAGTGTCAGTGCTGCACTCTCCTGGTTGCGTGCAGAACAGCCTTCCCTGCCCCAGCTGCATGGTGGATGCCAGACTGCCTGCACTTGATGGGACTACTAGGAGATGAAGGTGCAACCAAGCTGTTTGCACAGCAAGGGCCGGGGGGGGTGCAGTTCTGGACAGCCGACACAGCACGTGGCTAAAAGAGGTTGGGGGGGTGGGGGATCTGGGAGGGGCACTCAGCAGTTCATGTGGTAGAGGGGAGCTGGGGGGAAGGCATCCACATGGCAGGCTGGCTCTGGGTCTGTGCCGTGTATGGCATGCAGCCCCTGGCTACCTGCAAGGTGGACATTCCTGGTTTAAACCCTTGGAAAAAAGTCAGAGATTTTGTTTAGAAAATAAAGCTATTGTTGACAATAATTGTCAAAACCTTTTTGTGTAGGTGATGTAATTCAACCCGGTGTTATCCATGACATGCCAAGTTCAGCATCATTTCAACTTTTTTTTTTTTTTAGCCTTTCCTGTGGACTCCTCTCACAGTATAAGATCTACATTGCACAAACCAAGTTTTTTCAATAAATATAAATAAAATCCATTTGAACTATAACCAGTTTGTTAAGAGTGAGTCTTTATAATTTAGGTTTTTTTAAGACGTGACGATTTTACTTTGAACTCTTCTTTCTTATTTTTTACTCTTTTTTTTGTTGTTGTTTTTTTGCCCCAGTTAATTTCATTAACTGCTCTCAGCAAATGTGCTGTAAAGTTACAAGTATCTTTTTCTGACTAATGTTTCCACTTGTCATCCATTTGCTGGCATGAAAACTATAAGGATTTATTACTCTATAATCAAAATCTTCATCTCCCAGAAAATCAGAGCTATAGGCTTTACCTATTAAAGTGGCAGCTACAAATTGCCATGTGTTAAAAAGTCAGAAGCCTTATATTTTTAAAGAATAGATGTAGTTTATAAAACCAGCTTAATGTAACTCTTAATTATTTGAGATAAGTGGGTGGTAGTTTTAAAGCAAAGTTTTGTGGGATGGAAATACTCCAACATAAAAAATTACAATTTCCTGTGTTACAGTGGAAACAGTTGTTTCATTAATGCCATGAATCGTTAGTTTCTTCCATATTTAACTTATGCCTATGTCAGTAATAGACAGTTAGACTGATGCAGCAGTGCAGACATTCATAATTGAAAGTAATTTCTGTTAATGTAGGATTCTGTAGATCAGTGGGAGCCAACTTGTTTCACAGGCATGCCACAACGTAGCCCCACACCCTCCCTGAGTGCCACTGCAATGCCTTTCCCTTCTGTGATCTGCTGCTCAGCTTTCTGTTTCCTGCCCTTTGCTCCCTGCCTGATGTGATGCCCAGCTTTCTGGTTTCTGCTGTATCTGCGCTGTACTGCCTATTAGGGGTGTGCATAGTGGGCAGCATTCGATTTGGATTCGGCCCGATTTGGGGGACAGTGATTCGATTAGCTGATTCAGATCACTGTCCTGATTCGATTCTGATTTGGAGAATCAGCAATTCAGACACAGGCTCAGCTTTATATGTTTTTTTCTACATACCTTGTTTTTTTCTTCATACCAGGTGTGGCTCGTGAATGCTGAGATGGTGGGATGGATGGACCATCCCACAGGGGGAGGGGAGGGGGGACCCATGCATGCTCAGCGGTGGACCTGGAACTGGACCGGAAGTGCTTCCAGTCCACTTCCAGGTCCACTGGGAAGTGCACTGCCCCCCCCCGCCCGCACCTCCTTGGCTTGGCGATTGACCACAGGGGGACCCTGGGTGCCACCCCAGACCCAGGAAGCATCAGTTTCCAACCTGGGGGACAGACAGGGACCCCCGCACACTCTGCGGCAGACCCAGAAGTGGACCAGAAATACTTCTGGTCCATTTCTGGGTCCACCACTGAGCGTGTTAGGGACCCCACCCATGCTCCCATGGGATGCTCCATCCGCCCCACCATTTCAGCATTCACGAGCCACGCCTGGTACCTTGAGGTATGTAGAAAAAACATATAAAGCTATGTCTATGTCCAAATCATTGAATCTGTCCAAATTCGATTTGGAGAGATTAATGGGTCTCCTGATTCAATCCGGATTCAGAGATTCAGCCTCCGAATCGGGCCAAATCTCCTCCAAATCGAATCGGCAACCGAAGTTTCGCACAGCCCTACTGCCTATGGCCTCCCCAGTCTGCCGTGTGTCAGATAGGAAGGCTGCCAGTGCCACTTGGGGCACCCAGGAGGCAGGTTGGCTACCCCTCCTGTAGGTAGTTGTTAATGTTGACAGATGGCTACCTGGTATCAGAAGGCAAGGCAATATACCTGACTTACATTTATGTGAGAACCAGTGACTGAAAGTCTAGAAAATTTTCCTGCTGTGCCTGTGTAAGAGAGAGCAGCCTGGAAAAATATTACATTTAGAATGATAAAATAGTAGAATCTGATAATGGCAAAGTTCTGTCAGGTCTCCAGGTCCATCTTTTGTCCATCCTGGGACATCCCCTATAATATTCTCATTATTCGGGGGTGAAAAAATCATGAGGTATACTGAAATTGGAGGTAATGTTTTAGTGCTGTTTAAAACCATACAAATGTATGCTGGCTCCTGTAGGCATTTTGATGCTTTACTGGACAGGAGAAGTTGTGAGCAGACCTCTGTCCTCTGTGACAGCAGCATTCATGGCCCACTACTACATCCTCAGGCTCATTTACTTTATGTTTATGCTTGAGATTTTTGGCAAAAAAATCCCCACTGTTTCTAAGTTAAAAGTTCCACTTGTCCCAACAAGCACCTAACTTGTCACAAAATATATAAATTCAATCGGCCAAGAGATTTTTAGCAGTCATTTGATATCTTCATTTTTACATTTTTCTCATACATATTTCTGTGTGTGGTGTATGTGTATTTAGCTTTGCATTTTTAAATAAAGAAAATTAGCTTTATATTTGTTTCACATAGTATAATAAGCTATGGAGTTGTCGTTAATCTAGTTAGTCTCCTGTGCACCCAAATACCGTAAAAAAGCAACTAATGTGCTCCATGTTCTCTACTCTCATAGAGCCATTGAATGGGTCAGCTTGACTGGTTTCCTCTCCTTTGCTACATCAGCACCCAACAATTTGGGGTTAGTACGGAATGAGCTGCAGCTGGTTGATCTCCCAACAGGTTCGTATTTCTTGGAAAACCTGTATATAATTCAGTTCTGAAAAGTATTATGACAGATCTGCTGGGGTGTTTCCAGTTTGTATTTTGTTGCCTTTAGTGCCAAATAAAAATGTGTATTACTCCTACATCTTGTTTTCAAGGTTAATATAACCAGGAGGAACTGAGCAGATTCCATCTTCCTTTGTGTGAGATTTTAAGTTCCAGTCAGATCTGTGAAAACATACTAAAAGGAACAAGTTTGCACAAATCACTCTCATTTAATCTAAACTCGATAATTGCCATTGGACTGTAGCAGAGTGAATACCATTTTAGCAGCAGACAAGGTTCCTTGGGTGAATTTGATATCTTCTATTAGACCAACCCAAATAGTTGGAGAATAGGTATTAAGCAAGCTTTTGAGTTCAAAAACCCTTCGTCAGGCTAAGGAAGTTTCAGCAGTTGGTGTGTGCTCTTCCTGGATGGGATGAAAAGTAAAGAAGCCAGCGGCTGGACTGGAGAGTCGGTTGCCAGGCAGATTATAATGTGTCAAAAATCCAATGTCTATGTTTAGTCCATGATCTCTAGTATCCAGCAGGTTGATGAAATGGAGTTCATAGGCTCGTCTCTGGGAAGTGTTGTGTAAGTTTCCCTTGAGGCTCAGGACTGAGAGATTGGAGAGAGAGTGGCCCTCCTGTGAGAAATGTGCCCCCACCGGTAATTGGGTGTTTCTGTCTTTGATGGATTTTCGGTGTGCGTTCCTTCTGGTGCGCAGTTGTTGTCTGGTCTCTCCTACATATCTTCCATCAGGGCATTTGGTGCATTGGATGAGATGTATGACATTCCTGGAGGTGCAGCTGTAAGATCCTGGGATGCTGCTGGCTCTGTTGTGGGGTGTAGTAATAGTGGGGGTGGTGGAGATGTGTTGGCAGGTTTTGCATTTCTTGTCATGGCACGGTCTGGATCCTTTTGGTGTGTTCTGGGCTTGAGGAAGTTTGCTTCTGGTGATGAGGTTGGC